ATTATTATTATTACTACGTGCAGCTACTCCACAATTAACACACTGTGACCTTACTGTCATGGCTGACACCGTGTGACACTGCACACCACACTTCCGGCCCCTGCTCGACCACCCCGTTTATATTAACCCCGTGTTTCCGGTTCTTCCTTCTTTTCGGCAGAGGCTGCATACTCGCCAACATGCCAGTGAGTGTCTGTGCCGTTTACAAAACGGCGTTTATCCCTTCCTAACCGAGACAAACTGGGTTGAATTGCACCGGATTAGGCGAGGGTAGCTTCGCGGTTCTGTGTAGAGGTGGACTAGAACTCGGGGCGCTTAAATTAAGTAAATTAGAGCCTAAAGTCGGGCGAGGTAGATGCGTTACGGAATCGAGACGGGGACAAGATGGCGGCGCACATGGGGGACGGCGATGCGTGAGGAGGGGGGTGACGGGGAGCGAATTAACAGAGATTCGGTATAATATGAGTGTTCTACGTGTGATATAACGCAGTTATTAATGGGTAGGACTGTGTGGCTGAATAGTCGGGCAGGGCCGGGGGTTGCCGGAGAGGCTGGCGTGGGAGAGAGACGCTTTGACGCAGCATGGTATTTTTAAAGACACGATCGAACTAGCACGGAGTTAAGGGCAGGTACAGTTATGTCTGTGTAGACGGCGGGGCAGCAGCAGCAGTGTGCTGTGGCCTCTGGGTTCGCTTGTGGGGTCGATGGCTCGGGATCAGTCTCCGCTCCGCTTTCCGGGTCTTTATGCTGTTGGGAGGCCCAGTCTGAGCGGGGGCTCCACGGATCTGTCTACACGCGTGGATGTCCGGGCCACGGTGTTAATCCCTCTCGGCTTGCCCACGCAGCTCGCGAAAGACTTGTTGCACCCGTCCCCCGAGGAGGAGAAGAGGAAGCACAAGAAGAAGAGGCTGGTCCAGAGCCCCAACTCCTACTTCATGGATGTCAAGTGTCCAGGTCAGTGTGTCCACCTCCCGGACTGGGGCCGAGCCCGGCCTCTCTGACTGCCTGGGGCGGAATCTGTAAGGGGAGTCTATTGGTTTCTGTCTGAGCAGGGGCTGCAGTATATGGGCTGTTGGTGTCATATGGGCTCTGTGGCCTTGCTCAGTGGAATGTGTGACTGTGTGCAGGGCTGTGTTCAGTGTGCTGATGTGTTCTCTGCTGGCTCAGTGGAGTGTGTGACTGTGTGCAGGGCTGTGTTCAGTGTG